AAGTCATGGATCAAATGATTGAGAAATTCAGTCAACACGTAGTTCCACATGTCCATCTGCGAATTATTCCAACTAAAACCAGTAACAAATCACTTTTTATTTATAAAAAATATTACAAGCCTCAGATCGTGATCAATAAATCGTAGCCCATAAAGTTAATAAAATGTATAGTATCTAGTTAGAGATGTATAGTATTTTCGAATCGAGCACTAAACAATCATTATAAACTGCTAAATAGTCATTATTACTTTCGAAACAAAATTTATTATAAAGGCAATGATTTAGGCATAAAATATGATTTTTTTTACTATAATAGGATTATATACACGAACAAGGATCATTTACGCTGAAAATAATGCCACGTATGATATAAGATAAGTAATGTGCAATTTTGTGCTACACAAGCCATGAATCAAATGTTGGAGAAATTCGGTCAGTAGGATCCTCCATGAGTCCATCCACATAATCATCTCAACTCAAGTGGGTAAGACATAGTCTTTTCTTTATAATAAAAAATAATGCATTCTCCATGATCAATAAATTGTAACTCGTTAAGTTAATAGAATGTATAGACAATATATTATCCAATGAGGTATAATGTTTTTGAATCAATGACTCGACATTCACCATTAACTGCTAGATAGACATAGCTACTTTGAATCAATGACGAGGCATTCAAAATAATATTTATTGTGAACACATGAATTTAGGCTGGAAATACGAGATTTTTTTACTACAACAACAATAATAATGCACGGGCAAAGATCATTCACACTAAAAATAGTAATGAGTAGGAAGTACCATCATGCAATATGATAAGTAACCCACAAACTTGTGCTACAAGCCTAAAATCGAATGATTGGGAAATTCGGTCAATGGGTCCCTTCACGCGTCCATCCACATAATTAACTCAACTGAAATAGATAACAAATGCCTTTTTCTTTATAATAAAAAAGATACAAGTCTTGTGATCAATAAACTGTAACTCGTTAAGTTAAAAGGATATATAGACAGTATAACATCTGAGCATGTTGTAGTATACACTGTATAATATTTTCGAACCAATACCCGACATTTACTATTAACTGTTAATTACACACAACTACTTTAAAAATAACAATAATTATGAAGACATTAATTTAGGAGGAAAATATGAGAGTTCCACTACAACAATAATAAGAATACACAAGCAAAAAATATTTACACTAAACATAGTCCCACATACCATCATTTTATAGAATAAGTAACCCACAAACTTGTGCTACAAGCCTAGGATCAAATGATAGAGAAATGTGGTCCGTGGGTCCCTCCTTTTGTCCATCCGCATAACTAAGTCAACTGAAATAGGTAATGTGTGCTCTTTTCTTCATAATAAAACAATATACAAGCCTCGCAATCAATAAATCGTAGCCCGTTAAGTTAAAAGAATGTATAGGAAGTATAGTATTCAGGAGTGTATAATGTATACGATAGTATTTTCTATCCAATACTCGATATTCACTATTAACTGCCAAATAGACACAACAAATTTTCAAAACATCATTTATTATGAACACATCAATTTAGACGGAAAATACAAAATTTCTACTACAACTATAATAATGATACACATGAGAAAAGAACATTTACACTAAAAATAGTACCAAATAGGCAAATACCGTCTTTTAATACGTTAAGAAACCAGTAAGCTTGTGCTACAAGCTCGGAATAAAATGATTGAGAAATTCGGTCAATGGGTCCCTCCAAGCATCCATCCGCATAGTTAACTCACATGAAATGGTAACATGTGTCATTTTCTTTATAATAAAAAAATAATACAAGTATCGTGATCAATAAAGTAGTCTGTTAAGTTCAGAAAATATCTAGTATCTAGGGATGTGTAGTTTTTTCAAACCAAAGACCACACGTTCACATATTAACTAATAGCTACTGAGTGATTGCAATGAATAATGGATTTATGAGATCTAGAGAGATACTAAATGAAATTATAGAGAGAAAGTCTGATAAAAGTAATGATCGAAAAAATATAAATTGAACACTTACAAGGTCACATGAAAAGGTATTTATAGAGTTACAGAAATTGGCTTGTGAGGGTCAATGAGTAGGTTGATTGAATTGCGCGACACATGTGTAGGTCGATTGACTTGCGTGACACGTATCCCTAAGGCCTAATGATATCATTTCCAGGCCTTATCAAACTGTAAGGATAAGGAGCGAGGGTGAAAACCCGAAAGAGTGAAAAACACAGGACTTTTCGGGCTAATATCCAAGTCACTCTAATTTTATTAGTCTCTCCTCACCATTTACATTTTACAAGAATTAAGCCTTGGAAGCCACTAATGGAGCTCCCAAGCTTTTCTAGATAGGAGGAGTATAGTAAAGAAGAAAAACATCCTTAGAATGGAGGGAAGTCCTCCAATTTATAGCAAAAGAGGGAAGGGGGTATAAAGATACCCTAATGGGCGTTATGGGCCAAAAAGGGTCTCGTTGATCTGGCTCCGTACGAGGGTAATACATTGGGCTCCAGAATAGTAGTGAGCCAGGATAATATATCCCAACATACTGCTTAATAGATTGATTTGTAAACAACATATATTAGAACACCACAATTTAAGCCAAAAATAAGAAATTTTTGCTGCAACATTAGTAATAATACACAAGAAAAGAAGATTTACATTAAACATAATAATGAGTACCATCGTTTAATATGACAAGTAATGCACAAGCTTGTGCTATATGTCTCGATCATATGATTGAGAAATTCGATCAGTCGGTCCCTTTGCGCAGCCATCCAAATAATTAACTCAACGACATATGTAACACGCGACGTTGCTTCATAATATAAAAAAGTACAAAATGCTCAACGATCCATAAATCGTACCATGTTGAGGTAAGAGAATGTATAGTATTCGAGGATGTATAGTGTAGTATTTTTTAATCAAAGATCGCGCACGCTCTAACAACTGCTGAATGATTGCGATGAATAGTAGATATACGAAATTAGGAGATAAAGTAAATTGAGTTCTAGCAAAAAAGTATGATTAAACTTAAAAAAAGGTTTTATGTGCTTTCTTTAAACCTTATGTTTCATTTTGTAAATTGGGCTTGATTTAATACGACTCATGAATTTGCATGAAGGTCCAATCTTTTCCTCAGGTTGTTTACAACTGTTCCATGAAGACATCATTCAAATGTCCTTGTTATGTTGAGTTTCAAATATATTTACGAATTACATCAATATGCTCAGTGTGAAGCACTTTAACGCGATGAATAATAGGTATAATTGATCTTTGAAAAGAGATAATCTACCTCACATATAACACCAATGAGCTCCATAATGAGTAACTTTCATGCTCACTACTAAGTCTACTATATTTGCTGATTTGTTCCACGAGAAAGTGTAATGACTGAGCAGAAATTTTAAACCAATCTTTTGTGTATTGACTTTGTTTTGTTTTGTTTTTTTACTCTGGGATGTTTGGGGGATGAGGGCTGGGGGGAGGGGAGAGGGGCTGGAGTAATCTGGATTAAAACTCACTCCATTGAGTTTCGAATCCGAAACCTCCATAAGGGAGAGTGAGTCTGCGACAAGTTGAGCAGGATCACTTTCTCTTTATTGACTTTGTCATTTTTGGATATATTAAATTAATATCGTTTTTTATACATCTAAAAGGAAAGATCAATTTTGTTGTATGCCATTTGAATTGCTTTCTGAAGTTAAAATTTTTATGCATGATTATAGGGGATGTTTAGTTGCTTAGGTAAGATTTTCAGCTCTTTCTATCATTTGTTATTTCGTATTTTTAGTATTTAATAAAAGTTCATTCAGAAAAAAAGCATAGTTTATTGGATACTCCCTCCGTCCCAGAATTAACTTCGGTTTTGACTGGGCACGGAGATTAAGAAAGTGGGAAATGTGTGGTGGAGAGTTGTGCAGAGGAGAGAGAAATGTATAAGAATGGTTGTGAACCACAAATCCTTTGCTAAAAAAGGAAAGAGGAGATAAATTTGGGACGGACCAAAAAGGAAAGAATGAAGATAATTATGGGACGGAGGGAGTAATATATTAGTAAGAAATAATGACATACTCCGTATATATGATTGGAATGAAAGCAAGGGATGAAATTACGTTCATAACAATTTTATATACATTTTGAGCCCGTTTGGTAGCACGAAAATCGGCTGTTTTGGCTGTTTTTGCTGAAATTTATGAAGTTCTGGCTGAAGTGGCTGTTTTGGCTGATTCTGCTGATTCTAGAAAAAAATATTTTAAAAATATATTTTATTAATAAAATAAAGAAAAAATTACATGTAAAAATAGCTAAAATGGTCATCTACAGTAACTTCAGCCAATACAGCCAGAAAAGTAACTCCAACCTTACTTTTTCTGCTTATTACACAATTCAGCACGCGAAAGTAAAAATTACGAGCCTGTTTGGTAGCACCAAAATCGGCTGTTTTGGCTGATTCTGCTGAAATTTATGATATTCTGGCTGGAGTGGCTGTTTTGGCTGATTCTGCTGATTTAAGAAAAAAATATTTTAAAAATATATTTTATTAATAAATTAAAGAAAAAATTATATGTAAAAATAGCTAAAATGGTCCTCTACAGTAACTTCAGCCAATACAGCCAGAAAAGTAACTCCAACCATACTTTTTCGGCTTATTACACAATTCAGCGCGCGAAAGTAAAAGTTACGTGTTTGGTGAAAAAGCTGGCTGATAAGCCTGATAAGCCGAAAACAGAGTTCTCCAAACGGGCTCTACGTGTTTGATGAAAAAGCTGGCTGATAAGCCTGATAAGCCGAAAAAAGGGGTCTCCAAACGGGCTCTTTGTTTATAAATTTAATGAATAATATTTCAAGAAAATTCCCTGATGATAACAATAACAACAATAAACAATAATAGAAGTGTGGTAGATCTTTATATTGTTTTAATTTTTATCACATTAAATTAAATTAAGAAAACCTAAAATCAGGTAGAGATAAAATGGCTATAATAAATAGCACTGCGTACAACCCCTTTGCAAAAGAGTGCAACAAGCCAGCAACAACATATACCTCCCCACCTCTTTCTCCTCTCACTCTGTGCCAGTTCTCTTCTTTCTTTAATAGGAGGAGTAAACCTGCTGCAACTCTCTCTCTCTAACTCTGAAATAGATGAAGCAGACACCAGAGAGATGTTAAAGTCCACCCTCCACCGCATCTGAACAACCTTCCTCACCTTCTCTATCTTCTTTGCCTAAGATTGGAACTTTTTTTGTTCCTCTCTCTGTCATTTTTCTCTCTCAGTCTCTCTTTCTTTCACTCAAGACTCAGGTTAGAGTCACATTCTTTTAGTCAAACCTTAGCTGTGAAAAAGGAGAGGGATACATACATATACAAAGCAGCAAAGCTCTGTTTTTTCTGGGTTACTTGTAGAGTTAATTTACATCTCAGATCTACAAACTCACAGTCACATTTCACATTACTTGTCTCTGTACTTTTGGGTTGCTCTTTTAAAAGATCAAAGATGAGCAAAGAAGAGTTCTTGAAGATCCAGGTATACTTCTCAGTTCTCATTACTACCCTCTGTTTTTTATTTTCTTTCCAAGAAACAGAGTTTTTGGTTGTCGGTGATGTGCAGATTCAAAATTCCTCTGTTTTCTTTTCGATTTTTTTGAATTGGTTAAATCTATCGGATAAGTTTTGATTCTGGGTGGGTGGTTTAATTTAATTTAATTCTGGGGTTTGCTCGATTTTCTTTTATGGTGTATTTTAATGATAATAATAATGTGTTGAGTACTAAAGCTTCTGGCTTTGATGTGACTCTGTTTTGTTGGGTTTTGCTTGTGCATGCAGACTTGTGTGCTAAAAGTTAATATACACTGTGATGGCTGCAAACATAAAGTAAAGAAGATCTTGCAGAAGATTGACGGTATGGATATATGCTTCTTATTCAATATTCAACTCTGTAAATTTTACATCTATATCCTTTCACTTGGATTATATTCCATAAATAGTAAATTTAAGCAAAAGTCCTCTTTTTTTAATTGTCAAGAAGAAAAGAACCTTGCTTGCAGTCTGAATCTGGTTGTATTTACTGTGAATTTGACTTCTGTTTATCCTCATTTTGGGTTGGGAATTTATTTGTGGTGTTACAGGAGTTTATAAGCTAAGCATTGATTCGGATTCCGGCAAGGTGACCGTCTCCGGCAATGTAGACCCGGCTACTCTCATCAAGAAGCTTACCAAACATGGAAAACATGCTGAGTTGTGGGGTGCTGCTCCTAAGGGTGGGAATAATAATCAGAACCAAGTTAATAATCAGATGAAGAATTTGCAGATTGACAGTGGCAAGAATGGGAATAACAATAAAGGGCAGGGGCAGAAGGGTAATAATAACAATCACCATCCCCAGCAGGTTCAGCAGCAGCAACAGGGGGGCAAAGCTGGAAATCCCATGATGCCTAATCCCCAGCAGCTTCAACAGCTTCAGCAGTTGAAGGCTTTTCAAGATATGAAGATGGCTGGTCAATTCAAGGATCTGAAACTTCCCATGGGTATGAATGGGATGATGCCTGGCGGCGGTGGAGGCGGCGCTGGCGGTGGAGGAAATGGCGGTAAGTTGCAGATGCCGAATCTGAAGGCCGGGAAGCAGAGCATGCCTGAGGAGGATGATTTCAGTGATGAGTTTGATGAGGATGATTTAGATGACGAGTTTGATGAAGATGATGACTTTGAAGATGATGAAATGGATGAAATGCCGATGCCCAATAAGATGAAGCCGCCGCAAGGTATGGGTGGGGCTGCCGCCGGTCAGATGCCTAATATGTTGAAGGCTGGCAATATTGGAGGTCCCGGCGGTGGTGGAAATGGTAAGAAGGGTGGTGCCCCCCAAAATATTCCTGTTCAGGTAAATGTTGGCGGTGGTAAAAAGGGCGGCGGCGGTGGCAATCCAAATCTAGGTCCCGGGTCGGGTCAAAAGGGTGGCGGTGGCGGTGGTGGAAAGAATGCTGGCGGCAAGCCCCAAGATGGCAAGAACAATGGTGGCGGCGGTGGTCAGAATAAGGCTGGAAACAATGGTGGTGGAAGTGGGGGCGGAGGAGGTGGCAATCACAATAATAATGGCAACCCCAATGGGGGCAAGAAAGGAGGTGGTGGAATGAATGATGGGCTCCCTGGCATGCCCAACGTGATGTCAATGAATGCTGGTGGCCAAGGTGTGGGCCCAAGAGGAGGTATGCCAATGGGTCAAATGGCTCAACAAATGGGCCAGCAAATGAGTAATCACCCAATGGGCCAAATGGGTCATCAACTCTCTGCAGTCCAAGGCCTGCCAGCACCACCGATGGGTGGCGCAGCGGGAGGCGGCGGCTACTTCCAAGGTGGCGTCGGACCCGAGATGGCAGCAGCCGGTAACCCCTACCAACAGCAGCAGTTAGCAGCGATGATGATGAACCAGCAGCGGGCCAACGGGAACGAGAGGTTCCAGCACATGACATATGCCCGGCCACCGCCAGCTGTCAACTATATGCCTCCTTATCCTTACTACCCTTACCCCCCTCCCCCAAATGACAACTATAGCACCGTCTTTAGCGATGAGAACACCTCAAGTTGCAGCTTAATGTGAGTTGCGGCAGTCTCCGGGTAGCCGTTGCCGGAATCCGTCCCGATGTGGCGATTCCGTTTGCAGCGTTGGAGTGGTCAGTGTCACTCCAATATTATTAATAGCTAAGCTAGTTCTTAATTCCGTTATATATCATCATTATTATTATTATACAAGAAAAATGAATTTTCTATTTGCTGCTTTTCTAATCCAGTTCATTTTTGTTTTTGGTTTCTTCTGAAGTTGATCAATCACTCTTCAATTCCCCTCTCCAGTCTCAGCTCTTCCCAAATCCTAAGCTTTGATTAGTGGCTTTGTGATTGGGAGCATCAAATTTGATGTGATAGGCCTGCCTATGTCTAAGTGGGGGGGGGGGGGGGGGGGGCATTAAAGTTGTATCTCTATAGTCAAATGGAGATGTTTGTATATATCCTGCTTATTATCTAACTCATTAGAACAAAAATAGCAACAAAAAACTGAGAACAAAAAATCAATGGAACTTCATACGGAGTATTTTTAAATCGGTACACCATTCATACACTTTATTTATTTTCACAAAAATTGTTTGTATACATATAATTCATTTGAAAATATATAAGTTGTCTTTACAGAGATAACTTTGTTTCTATGTAGATAGAAAAAGTGTGCCAATGGTGTATAAGAAAAGGTGTACATCAATTGTTTTGTAATACTCGTATTATTAGTCTTATTTCCCAAGACTAGAATTGTACGTAGTATAAAAGAATTATCTCCCCAAAGCAGGGATTTATTTTAGTTTAAAATTAAAACAATCAGTATGTGAATAGTTAGAGAATCTTCGCAGAAAAAAATGAAATTATTCAATGAATTTGTTCAATGAATTTGTTCAGAAAATTTTGAAATTATTATATTGTCCTCCAGAAGAAGAGCATCTATCTTCTATCTATATAATGGAGGAGCGGATTGTGGTTGGGACGTGGGGTACCCAATCTGCTGCATGCTCTAATGCATTATAGGCTTTCTGTGTATGAATATGCATTAAAGTTGTATCTCTATAGTCAAATGGAGATGTTTGTATATATCCTGCTTATTATCTAACTCATTAGAACAAAAATAGCAACAAAAAACTGAGAACAAAAATCAATGGAACTTCATACGGAGTATTTTTAAATCGGTACACCATTCATACACTTTATTTATTTTCACAAAAATTGTTTGTATACATATAATTCATTTGAAAATATATAAGTTGTCTTTACAGAGATAACTTTGTTTCTATGTAGATAGAAAAAGTGTGCCAATGGTGTATAAGAAAAGGTGTACATCAATTGTTTTGTAATACTCGTATTATTAGTCTTATTTCCCAAGACTAGAATTGTACGTAGTATAAAAGAATTATCTCCCCAAAGCAGGGATTTATTTTAGTTTAAAATTAAAACAATCAGTATGTGAATAGTTAGAGAATCTTCGCAGAAAAAAATGAAATTATTCAATGAATTTGTTCAATGAATTTGTTCAGAAAATTTTGAAATTATTATATTGTCCTCCAGAAGAAGAGCATCTATCTTCTATCTATATAATGGAGGAGCGGATTGTGGTTGGGACGTGGGGTACCCAATCTGCTGCATGCTCTAATGCATTATAGGCTTTCTGTGTATGAATATGATTAGACTCGCAAGGGATAAATTATGTATGATTCCCACATCTCACCGAGACTATACAGTATACACAATGCTTTACCTTAGCTTGAATAATATTATCCCCTGAAAAAAAGATAAAATTGTCATTATTTAGCAATTTCCGTTAAAAGAGTAACATCTATTTTTATTTATTACTCCCTACTAAAATTGGCTGAATTTGTTGTAACCTAATGAATTTTTGTTGAAGTAATCTGAATATGTCAAATTGTGAAAAATATATTTATTGATAAAACAAAAGAAAAAAAAAATATAAAATGATTATATGGTTACAATCATCTTCAAGAATTTCAAAAGAATAACTTTAAACTTGTTTTTTGTTGAGAAAAATAGATGCTATTTGCATCTTGAATCTAAGAGCCCGTTTGGAGAACTCTGTTTTCGGCTTATCAGGCTTATCAGCCAGCTTTTTCACCAAACACGTAACTTTTACTTTCGCGCGCTGAATTGTGTAATAAGCCGAAAAAGTAAGGTTGGAGTTACTTTTCTGGCTGTATTGGCTGAAATTACTGTAGAGGACCATTTTAGCTATTTTTACATATAATTTTTTCTTTAATTTATTAATAAAATATATTTTTAAAATATTTTTTTCTTAAATCAGCAGAATCAGCCAAAACAGCCACTCCAGCCAGAATATCATAAATTTCAGCAGAATCAGCCAAAACAGCCGATTTTGGTGCTACCAAACGGGCTCTAAATATATAATGCACTAAACTTAATTTTATTATTATTACAGAATTCGATGTTTGGTAAAACTTTGATTTATAACGTTGATAAACAAGAAGTGCCCGTGTGTATAAATGCTAATAGCCAATTTTAGGATATTCACCCCAACTCATGTCATGAAATGGTGAAAATATCTTTCCTACTTTTTCCATGAATAAGAATTTCTTAATTGGATTGTAACCTCTTTCAAAAAATAAACGGACGGTAACTTTTGTTTGGTTAGTATACTAAAATCTGATCTTTATGATTTGTTTATTTAAGCTTAACAATATGACATGATCCGGTAAATACTTGATGCATGTTTATTTTATTGTTATTTAAGTCTGATATGATTTGATATGTTTAAGGCATGAAGTATATCCAATTCAAAACATCGTAAATGTCAATATGACTCAGTGAACCAAGTCTTTGGATAATTGCTCTAAATAGGAGTAAGTCTTGAAATTCTAAAATATGACTACTATGTTTATCTTCTCGAAATAGACGTCATTATTGTCATGATTGAGAAATATTGTCATGATTAAAAAATACTCTCATTTTTTGTAATAAATATAATCATGTTTAATGTTTAGTATTGCAAACAATAAACTAAAACCGAGGCCTGCTAGGGTTTCTTGCTCCATGCAAGTTTTATTTTTCTCCACCTTTGTGCGGAGCAGCAATTTTCAAATCTAGAGGATTGTGTTGGGGTCCTTGAGCGAACACAGGTATTGGTTAGCAAGAGCAGGCCGCCACTTTGGGAGATGCCTTGATGAAGCAATTTCTGTCCGATGGCAGCATGTTGAATATTTAGTTTTGTTGATGTGACTAATCATGCAGGAACAAAGGATATAACTATTCTATCACTAACCAGGCAAGTGGACAAAATGATAGAACTACGGTGAGTTCTAATATGAACAATGGACAGAACTGTCTCCACTCCCACATGAGATATTCGTGCCCATAATTAGATACGTGTCTGCATGAGCATGCCTCGCCATTTAATTATGATATCTTACGTGCTTTAATATATTTCCATATTTGATTGGATATCCCTTCAAATTTATTGATACGTATAGTTTATGGAAAGCTCTCTTGCTACTATTACATTAGTGGACGGTACGGCATTTGAATTGGATATAAAAGGTTTTCTTACTTAAAATATTAAATGAATATTTTTGCTAGATTGCTTAGCATATGATTTGTTTGATCATAACATTAATACCTTGCTTTATGGAAGTTGAACGTGGAATACATATACTTGTTAAAGTAAATATTTTCTTACCATACAAATTGAATAATTATGTTAAGTGAATAAATTATTCCCTTGGTGGTAATTATTCTTGAATAAATAAACTTTTATGCACGAATGAGATCACAGATTTAGCTCTCAAGATGGAAGACTTTTCAAATTGTAATAAGGCAAGAATCATTTACTCAAGGAAAGCCCCAACGGACTCATCTCAAGCAACCTATATATTCAAGCAGCCAAATGAGAAAAAATTGGGTGCTTGACTGAGAGAAATACTAAGAGATATACACAAGATAAATACTAAGCCGAGGCACCTGAACCTACTCACGGAGTTCAAGATAGAGTTCTTTTTCCCTTCTTCTTATATTGTAATTGGGTTTTTAATTTGAGGATTGGCTTAGTGTAGCATACTTGGGTTGGTTAGTGTGTTGTGAGAGCTTTGTTATAAAGCTGAGTGACTCTCTACCCACAAGGTAGAGAAGTGTAACTCTTCCTAAAGAGGATAGAGTTGTGGTTGCTCAAAGGTAGATTAGGAGAGTTTCTCTAGCTTGTAACCATTCAAAGGCTTTTTAGTGAAGTTAAAATTCCTCCGAGGGAGGTCGATGTTTTTTAATCCCTTTGAGCTAAGCGATTTTTCCTTGTCAAATCCCTGTGCACTTTACTATTTCGCATTTCCCTATACCCCACACTAGAACTTGGCGAAAAACTGTCACGGTTCCACACACACAATTCAACACCTCTTGTGTTGCTAATCGTTTCATCACAGCAGAATCTCTTTCCCCACCGCACCTATATGACGGAGATTGCGAACAAGGTTAGGGCAGACGGATCGCGGCAGGATGGGGATGAGGTAGATCCAAACATGCACCAGCCATGGGGGGAAGATTCTGGATCGGAAGAAGTCAGGGCCGTTGGCGGTGACCTCCTACGGGCGAAAGAAGACAAAGAGAGGTTGATCCGTCCCCCTCCCGAACCGCCGCCATGGAGGAATTGTGAGACTAGGGTTTGAAAAATTATTTCTATTTCTGTTTTAGTTTGTTTGTGTTTTTATTTCGAACTACATGCTGCTTTGTTTCTCATGTACGCTTATTTTTTGGCAAACTCTTACATTAGGTGGGGGTGATGAGGGTTTTTCTCTGGCCACGTTAGGCTCATATAGACCCACTCCAGGATCAACAAATCATATTGCTCTGTCCACGGTGATTGATTCTCAGGCTGGTTCGAGGGTTGGTGGCTGGAAGTGTTTCCTTTATATTTTGTCCCTTGCTGAATGTTTTATTATCAAATTAAGCTGCCTTGTTCCAAAAAAATGTTTAGTATTGCAACTATTTGATAGTAATGATGTAAAGTTGACAGTAAATAATGTCATATTACTCTTATTTTTGGAAAGAAAACATCACAATCTTATTTTGAAATTCCAAAACTTGTTTACTCTTCTTTCGAGTATTTTAGCAACATTTTACTATGGGAGACAAATAAATACTTCGTAATTGAATTGCAAGTTATTCTTTTCAGTAATATTTAGTATTCAGGTAGATTTAAAACTCTGTAGCGGCAAGTGCCTCTCCGATCGAGTAGCAACCGCCGCTGCAATATCTCCCACTCTTTTGTACTCATGAGGCACTTCTTCATCCTGTTTTGTATCGATCCAAGAAGGCAGCAGATTACATGTCTTGTTCTACGTAGTAGAGATTCTTGGTAGGGGTATGAGTCGGTATGACCAATCTGGACTGTATTCTTTTTTTCTTGTATTTCTTCTATGCGTTGGCAGTTTTTTCTCGGGCACTGGCACTCCGCGTTGTTTTGTCACCCTTGATGTCGGGAGTTGTTTTGGTGTCCCGACATGTTTCGTCTGTTCAAGGGTTTCTGACTGCTTTCTTTTGGATTGCGTAGATAATGGTAGAGCTTACCCTCTTCGAGAACCACCTCCGTGCGAGGAAGAATTTAATGGAAAAGCTTTATTTCAATTTTTTTTCCTTTAGTAGTACTTATTTTTAGTTTACTTTGAGGAGGTTTGGCTTGGATATTTGGATTTCTGGAGTACTTTCGATAGACAATGTTTCAGTTATAATTGTTTTAGGCTTAAATTTGCACGTTTTGTGTTTAACAAATCAGGTTGCTTTGTATGAGATGGTTTACTCTATGTCTATTCCTAGAACTTACACTCGGCTCTTACTGTTGTTCTAAAAATCGTTCTAGGTGTCCGACTAGTCCCCGCCTAGGCGCTAGCTGTGGTCACGCGTCCCAATTTTTTTCTAGGCGCTCCGACTAATTGGTTTGACGTCTAAGTGAATTAGTCGGCCGTCAAGGGTGCCTAGTTTCCCGTCCATAGTGCCTAAACACCGCCTAGAGCGTCTAGGTTCACCGAACAATATTTTATTATTAATTATCTTTTTGTAAGATTTATATGGGGAGAGTTCTAGTGAGAACCCCTCCTAAAATGAGAACTATAAATCTCAACCTTTCATGTATTGCAATTATTGATTATGATTCACATGAGATCATATTCATAATTACCCAAATTCAAATGAGGTTCTTATGCATTTAACAATTCTAGCATTCATGCATGTTAATGTGTGTGTATATACTATGTTTTACTATGTATTACTTATCATATATATGAAACAATATTGATTAAAATACCATTTATGTGCATCTGACTAGTCCCCGTCTAGACTCCCGTTTAGCCGCTTAGGCGCTAGACTGGCGCCCGACTAGCGTCCAGCGCCTTTTAGAACATTGGTTCTAACATTACTGTATGAAAGTTATTTTGTATGTTTTCTTGATATTAATATAAAAAATCACTCTTATAATAAAAAAAAGTAGATATAAAAAATGGCGAGTTGTTAAATTGTGTAGTGCTAAGTTACGAGTCAAAATAATTCGGCTTTCATTATAAGCCCACTATTAACATAGGCTTCATGGAATGGGTTAGTCAAGCCCACACAACTCGTTATAAAGGCCAGACGCCGATAAGAGCTTAAATATAAAAAATAGAAATTTACTAAAGAATTGGAGAATCAAATAACATATATCATTTCCCCACAAATTAAAAGAGTGAAAAAACATCCATAGTAGAAATACAAGATTTAATGTGCAATAAATTAGATATAATACTGTTTGGATT